AATCATGCTTTTCTAAAAGATAATAAAACGCAGTAAAAAAAAGAATTCCTGATGAATCTATTAAATACAAAACATTATAGGCTACATTATTTTTTGTTTTAGCTTATTGCATAAACTATGAATATTGAAAGTGATCCTAAACTTCCTGGGGCGTACTTCGGTGTAGTTACAAACTCTGTCACAGTCACGATGAATAATTTAATGATACCGGAGTTTGTCTCGAATATTTACGCTTCACACTACAATAGATGATACATTATTTTGTAATTATATTTTTGTCTTTGTCTCTCGAATTGCATTCATATTCTATATTTAATTAAATTGGGAAAGAATTTTTGTTAATTTCAGGCTTTTTATAGTGAAATAACCAAGATACACTTCGGTATACAACACTTGTATTTTTTATATGTTTTGCACACTATAATTTTTCCGGAAGTGAAGTCGTTCTTCAGGACGCAAGAGGATGGAGTTATTTTTATTTTTTACAGAAAGATGGAGTTGAGAATGCGAGCTGCATTCAGGAGAGGAAATCTAAAATAAAAGGAATAAACGAGAAACGTTTTCTAACGATATTATTTTGTTTGATAAATTAATGCAGTCACATTATTATCTAACAATAAATTACTGTATGAGTATCTTTACTGAATTCTAAAAATCAAATGTCTTTTAAAATTCTAAAAGCCTTTGTTCTTACAATTTTATTGCGTTGGGGCATATAAAATGTCAGATTCTTTTTACTCGTAAATGTTTGCACTCCTGTTATTTTTATTCATTTGTATTACTCTTAACCTTTTAAACCGTTCCATTGTCTATTATCAGGGTAACGTTTTGCAAAAAAGTTTTCCCAAATTGTGGATAATAACCACCTTTTGAACAGTCTCTTGAAAACATGAACATCGCCAACATTCGTGTAATTTCCTTATATAAATTTAAACTTGAAAATATTGCTGTAAAAACCGCTCGAAGTATAAACAAAGCATTTGTGGATAATATTATTGTTAGAAATTCGACGTACGAATGTTTTGTTCAATGTGAGATTTGATGTACTGTATGAATTGCTTTTGAGCGTGTTATCTTTTAATTATGACGATACGATCTGGTATTCTGTTAAACCTGCTCGTTGTTTTAAATGTTTAAATAAATATATTTCGTTCGCTTTATATATTCTCCTAATAAATAATCCGACACCTGTAGATGAAAGAACAGTGCAGCTCTGATTTGCAAAATTTCGTTTCAGTGATGTTTATTTGGAAAATGAGCCACGTGGTAAACTTGAAACAATAGTTTATAATGATGTCATTAGAATTTATTAATCCCAAAAATTCAGAATTTTCCAAAAAGGAATATATTCATTAAAAACACGTCGGCAGAAGTGTATCGATTCGAATAGAGCATATTCTGATCGAATAAACGTCTTTTAGAACATCAAATAAGGTTTCATTTTTTTCGGAAAATCCGACATTTCATATGCAGTGACCTAAGACTCAACCATACTCTCTCTACGATCTCTAAATGTGTCTTACGCAGCCGTCACCGTCGCGAAATCGCCCTGTCTACTTATCAATGGGAGACCATAGTTCGATATTTGACCGTTCAACGTTTTTATAGATTTTCAATAAGCCACGCACATCTGCCGCGATTCTATCTAGGACTTTTTGTTGCCTTATCGACCTTAGTTGTATAAGCAAATATTTTACCGTGGCTTTTCGATCTTTCTACGTAAATCTTTGCCGTTTAAGATTTACGGTCCTCTCGCGATGTTTTCTTGCCCTCTCCGACACGCTTCGAAAAAGTTGAATGCGTTATCCGAAAACCATTGCACACTGCTTTCTTCGATTCATAGTTTCTTTTTGCGTACTCGCGTAAATCCACAGGATTCAGTTTTCTCTCTGTTCTTTTCTCTGTGCAGTAACCTTTTATTGATGAAACGCAACAATACATTTTAATCCTTTGCATTCAAGTAAAACTTCACGTACAATTTGTAAGAAATGAATGTAAAGAACAAAAGTCCAATTGCTGAACGAAAAAGCAATATTTTCGATTTAAAGTAGTACATTGTGGTACAAATATGAGTTGAAAGTTCGTACCGTATAAAGTTCCGAATATTGAATCATCAAAAACCATAAATTTCTCCCGAATAATCTAATACCCGTAACTCACTTTCAAAGTTAACGCATCCGTGCAACCGATTTCAAAGGCTATCACAGGAAACGATTGAAATTTGCGTATGAAAGCATAGGTGTATATAATTTTTAAAAATTTAGTGGCGGTGCTTTCTGTACCCCTTTTGGTGAAGTTCCCAAACAAACATTTTTTCCGCCGCTATTCGATCCATCAACGATTTTATTTTCGACTTACGGATCCCTGAAATCAATGTGAAATATTGGTACGTGCTGCGGCGTCAAAATATTCGTAGAATATTTCTTTATATCCGTAATAAGTTATGGTGTATATTTTTCCGCTGGCAAACCATAATTTGCCACCTTCATAATTGCTGCGAATCTACCGCTGCGAAATATTAGCTGCCTCGGATATTTATGGTTTCGTTGTGAACTTCCTTGAAATATTGGTATCCGAAATAATTGATAGTATTGTGTGAATCGAGATAGATGAATCGGAAAATGTGCAATTGATAATATTTTGGAGAGCATTAAAAAAAAACTACTTGCTTGCAAGTATATCTTATTAAGACAAGTTTGTATAGTTAAAATTGAATAGTGTTTTTTCATATAATCACAGAGGAAGATTGAAAGAATTTCACAATTTTTTGAAATGATAGAAAAATTTGCAAGATACTTGTTATTAATTAATGATCAACACGTTTGTTATCGTTAGTGATTTTGTTATTTGTTAGAGTACTTTATTAAATTTTGTAAAATACCAGAAACTGGAAATTAGATATTTATAATCAAAATTGTCGAAGAAGATGAACTATATGTTAATCTTGTTTCATATATAGTTATGAAAAATATTTTACACAGAAACAAATTGGAATTTAATATGTTCAATAGCGACGGACAATAGTATGAAAGAAGTATTTATCACGTACAATGACTGAATGGGTTCTTGTGCTAATTACTGTAGAACAGAAACAGTGACAATGAGAAAACAAAACCATTCTAATTAGCTTTGAACAAGTCTTTCTATTAATATTCCATATTGTATTAAACTACGATGTGAAAGTTCATAACATATGTTGTACAATCTCGAATAAAATGTGCACTTGCTCATATTATACCTTGTTTAGTTAAAAAATTTCCGATACAATGGAAATAATACGTAAAATGTAACTATTATAAAAATAACACGTAAAATGTAACTATTATAAAAATAACACGTAAATTGTAACTATTAAAAAAATAATACTTAATAAGATAATACTATTACAACAATCACGCTGACAATACTATAACAATATTCTTAACAAACACATAGAAATTCTCATCGTCGCTGTGTCTCGCTAATATTAAACGCGTCTTGTAGCAACATTTTATAACTCCGCGAACTTCCTCAATCCGGAAAATGGCGTACTTTTTGTGCGCGAGAATAATACGTAGCCACATTTCAGCTAGTTAAAATGAATAAAAATTGGAAATATTACGCTCGAGATTTTACGGTAATCTTTCCATGGGTTCACAGGAAAAAGGAAGATTTATTTTCACTGGGGACACTCATTTTCCACTAATTTTTTCTCTGTTCGCGAGCTAGCTATAAATTGCCCCTCTCCACTGAGTCGTGGTCGATACTATCGCAATGGACACTTGAGATTAAATACTGCACCGGCAAGTATTATGGGTCTTTGATTCCGCGTTCTGTTCCGAGAGCTATACATATTGCACGCGCGATGTATCGATCGATATGGCCGCCTTCTCCGGCCAGCATTCTTTTTACGGTCCTCTGAATAAGGATGTAAGATTCCATGGGCTTCCAAGATGCGTACGAGAAACCAGCGCCGAGCTCCTCGCTCCAGGATGTAACGGTGTAATATTTCAAGCAACGTTACAAGCGCCAGCCAATCCCCCAACCCTACGATAAAGGAACTATCCGACCCAAGAATTCGATATTTTAAATTCTCGACGCTTGTTTTGGTGAGTTTCGAAAGTGGAGCAGTAAAACTTTGCTCCAAGCAGAACACAATACAACACAATGACACCCTAAAACTTATGTATAATTTATATACGTATGAGCGTGTAGGTGTGGCTTGGAAGAAATTTCTATTAGAATTTAGGGTGGAAGGTTCATTTGACCAGATTGTTCCTAATGGACGATTTTTTAAATGGAACCCATATAATAGATAGCATTAAAAATTATGTGTAATTTGCATGTGCATTTGACAAGGAATTTCTGAATGAATTTAAGGCGAAGGATTCTGATTTGATCGCATTGTTTTCGGTAAATTTTTGGAATGGAGACCACACAGTAGTAGTGTATTGCTTGCTGAGATTATAGAGAGGAAAAAATGCTTTTGAAATATTTAGGTTTAACAGTATTAAAAATAAATAAACATTTATTTTAATAATGGTGAAAGCTGTAATAAACTAGTTGTAGTGTATTAGAAATATCAATTTGATATAAGAAAATCAAAGGAAGAATTAATGGGATTTTAATTTTTTTTTATTTATTTTATGATTTTTAATTAAACACATGTTTGACGTTAAAAAATATAATTTGAAGTTTTTGGTAAATAAGTTCTGTTTAGGTACTTCGTTTTAATCCTTTCATTTCGAATGGTAGACATAGGTACCACGAACATTTTAAATTATTGGAAAACAACAAAACTCCTAGATAAAGGAAAATTGTACCACACGGGGATTTCTGCTTATGGTTTACAGCTTAAATGCGAATCAGTTGTCAGTATATGTGTTTTCGTTGGTTAGTGAACAGCCTTAAATTTTTTTTTACAAAATTCATAGTCGAAAAAGATACATATTCAGGAACGGAAGGGTTACGAAAAGGTAGTTGGGTCAATAATGTTATCTAGAATATTATTAACTACTTACCGCCCGAAAAAATTGTTGCATGTGCGCAGGATCCGTGTCAACGATTAGTTTGTAAATTTCCTTGTGTCTGACTTCTCGAAGCACCTGCCTGTAGGATCCAGGCCCTGCCTGGCGAATGTACATTTCTGTCCTCGTGGAAGGCGGTGATTTCACGAGATCCTGTAGCTTGAATAATCCTGGGAATAGAAAAGTAAAAAGATCATAACAGACTTAAGCATTCTTTGAATTGTTTCGAGTAAACATTTACCTGAGATAATTAGTCGCATAAATTCTTCATTTTAATCTTGACTTCAAACAAATTATTTTACCTAACGCTAATATCTTTTGTAAATGAATAACGTTCGTTCCGGTTGCATCGAACGATCATGATGGGTGTATCAAAAGCATTTAATGAAAGATTAACAATCTTTGTTGGTCACATACGAGTAAATCGCAAAATCCTGTGAATAACTAACGTTCAAATTTTCACGAAGCTTCACGTTAATTATTTATTCATCGCACAAAAGCGTACGCATGGTAATTTCAATTTCAAAACACGTGTCACGATCCTGTTTTTCGTTGAATGGTTTCACGAGTGTTACTTGCGCACTTGTCAATCGAAAAAGTCGACTGAAAACCGCCGACACATTTTAATAATTTTCTAAAAGTGGTCACGAACTATAAAATCGAGCTTCTTGTCATCGGGAAGCGTAAAAATTCCGCGTGACTAGTTTAAAGACGCTCGTCACGCTCGCCCAAGTGCGCAGAAATTTAGCACCACTGTGGGAACACATCGGAATTTCAATCCCGTCCAATTTTCCAACGACATAACGCTCCACAGCCTGTTTTTCTCTCAATAAAAGTCTCCGCTCTAATTATGCTTTCACTTGGCAATAGATTTCTCAACTTCATGGTTCGAATACTTCGAAACAATGAAATCAAGTTTCTCAAAAATTTTAATTACTTCTTTAAATAATTTGAACTTGATTTCTAATGAAACTAATGAAATCAAATTTCTCAACGATTTTAATCGTTTCCTTAAATAAATTCTGTTCCGTCCAATGCAGAACAAAACGGCGAAAATCCTCGAAGGTTCGTTTATGACATGGACGTGCCAACAAAATTATTTTCGGGATTAACTTTTTCGAATTCAGTTCATTTTTCTGTTACAAGGGACAATTTCACCCTAAATCATGGTAAAGTCATTTAGTCACTCCGCGCGTGTCCAGATAATAGTTTTGGAATTTTTACTTCGTTTGTACAGACAACCGGGAATAATAAACCGGGAATTTCCAAAGGGTCGACTCGAACCTCGTTCGTAACGGTTCCGCTAGATAAGAGTCAACCTGGAGGAAATTTCCAAGGCATCGGCAAATCTTTGAGGACGTGGCCATTACCCTCGCCCTTGCACCAAGAGGGCTAGCTAAAGCGCACTCGATGCAACCTGAAGGTGTTGTATAAAAACACCTACAGGATCACACTCATCACACACTCTACAAACATTTTTTCGTATCGGCAAGTCCATCGTTCGAGACAAACAATTCTGTAACATACTTTTTTACACACTCTTTATCGCAACACTTAGAGTCACAACAAGTCCATCGTTCGGGACATACACAAGTTCAATCGAGTCATAATCATACGCTCTTAGTAATCACGAGTCCATCGTTCGGGAGAATGTGAATACTCCTTTAAATTTTGGGAGCTACAGTCCATCAGTTGGGATTTAACGCAATCGATCTAATTGTCCAATATTAATTTGGCGGACAAGTGTCAAGAAGAGTCGCGTACCGAAAAGTTACTTCGGGATTTACGACTCCGAACAGAATTCAAATTCGCGCAGTAAATCGTGACACAACGAAAACACATTTCATTTCGAATTCCTTACATAAATGTAAACTTTATTTTCCTTAAAGATTCCTTAAAGATTTCCTTAAATAAATGTAAACTTAATTTCCTTAAAAGCCTCTATCGCAAAATTAGGCTACGCATTTCTTCGTAGGTATATTTTCATAGATCGTCCCGCTGAGAATCTGAAATTGAAAGATAACACTCCATCACATGGATGCGGTTCTCAATTATCGTTTCTCCTTTCTGTAGATGCTACTGTACATATATATCAGTTGCGTGCTTCCGCTTTGGTATACATGTATTTGGTACTATAGCAGGATAGTCGGCGACTGGGGTGGAGGGTTCTTTGTATCAATGTATCGAGGAAAGTCCTGCTCATCCCTTAGTATAGGAGATGTTTCTCGTCTCTGGAAATTTATGTGGATTTTGCACGATACAGATACCACACGAGATGAAAAGGAATCCGGAAGACACGCATCTTCCTCTGCGTTCCTTTCTCCCTGTTTCTCGGATTATTTATTAGTTGACTAAAGAAAAGTATTTTAATCGAGGTAAGCTATGTCCTTATTTGTCAATTCTTTGCCAGAATTTGTCATTCTAAATATATTTTTGGTAACATTAAATATATTATTGGATAATTTACATAAAAATATATACGCAAAGTGGAAAATGTACTTTCATTCAATTTTTATTCATTCAATTTCGTATTTTAAAAGAAACCGATTCTGAATCACAAATGCATTTAAATCAAGTTCTAAATGTTACCTTTTCTTTGATTAGTACGGTTTATTTCGGAAGTTCATTATTTACTTCAATAGCGAGCATTTCTAACCTCAAAGTGAATCTGGGATTCAGTTAACCAAAAGTTAAGTGCATCCTATGTGCGTAAGCCATAATGTAAATGTAGTTTCAAACTATCAAACATAGAATTTAAAAGAAACACTGAATTCATTAGTGGTATATTCATTACACATTCAGTAAATTCTAAGTTAGTTGAATTCTATCTCAAACGCTTGTATAAGCCTTCAAACATATCTATTCGCAATCAAAATGCTTTTGCAGGTAATTTCGATCGTTCAATTTGGAATGAGTCGGGAGCTAGAAGGATACAGTGTACTGTGTTTGGACCTCATTCGTGTAATTACTCAAACGATGAGGGAGGGGCGATTCAAACTAGACGTCGAATTTCGGGAAGCTACCAAAAGCGAGTTAAAGCCACTCAGAAATGTCGGGGCACCATAAGTTTGTCGAAATGCAGGCTATTCCGCGGAAATATTCCAATTCATTGTTCGAAAAGAATTCCTATAATATTCAGCATTGCCGGAGATCCCTTGCAGCGATGAAAAGAATTGCCAGCCCCTTTTCAACAATTTAATACATTTTTGAAATAGTATTATGAGTGGAAATACGAGCAGGATGCGTCCCTTTTGAAATGTGTGTACATTTGACGACGTGCACCATTTACGAGAGTTTTACAGTCTGTAAATACTATAGTTGCGTCTCTGAAGGTTTGTAAATTTCATTATTATTGCGTGGATTTATCCATCAGAATTTGAAAGAAAATTTGAAAGAAAATTTATTTTCAATTAAAATTTAATTTCTGTATTTGACAGAAAAATTTAGACTACCAGCATGTACTGTGAGAATACCAGAGAACATATTGAAAATGTATGGTAACAAAAATTTAGCTCTAGAACCACTGATTATTTAATATGATTAATATGTAGTTCTTATAAAAATTACAAAGGTGCATTCGTTATGTAGTTCTAGTATTAAGAGCATGTTTACAAAGAAATTTAAGTCACACCTTAATATTTTCATAATCCACTTTTAATATAATAATAGTGAAATACATTTCTTATAGGTATATGTAATAAATTTATTTATTTATATATAATAAGTAAATTACTAATAACATTGCGTTTAAACTAAAAGCTTGCTACCAGAACGTTATGCAACGAATTGTATAATGAGTTGGGTAATGAAGGTTGGTAAGAATTGGAACTTCACAAAAGAAATTTTTTGCCAATTCCTCGACAAGACAAAAAATTCAAAATATCTCACAAGTTGATGTACGATATTTTTTCGATAAGAAATACTTATTAATCTCATAGCATCATATTATAAAGCATGAAAAATGTTGAGTTTTTATTGCAAACATTTCTTATATCTATCTTAGTTTCAAAAATATAGAGGAAAATATGGTAACAGCTATTTCCATGCACGAGGTAATTTCACCCTGAGGAACAAAAATTGGGGCACATAAAAATTGCCCAATACTTATTTTAAGTTTCCCGGTAACCCTTCAAAGTTTCCAAAAGATTGGAATTTTCGAGTCACTAGAGTTCCCTGGTAAGTTGTCGTACTTATCAAGGAGTCGAAGTGGCAGATAGAAGTTAGGGTAGCCGGAGGTGGCAGTTAATCTGCTAAAGTGTATTTGACGGGAGTAGATCAAAGCAGCGTGCACATGAGCCGACAACTTGCTCGATTTACATACGCGCCAGCTTGTAAGCTTTGTAACGTCTCCCGTGACAAACGGCCAAATACCATGATGCTCCTGTGAACACATTAGGAGAACCAGTTATCTCGTTAGGCAGGTTAGGAACCAGCAAGGAGTTAGCTTCTCGTTTCGCGATTCCGTTCGGCAACATTGCTTCCGGCGATAAGAAAAATGAATCGAAATTCTGGAAAGTAGGTCGACGCGGAACGTTCGAAAGTTTCGCTTTGTGGTCGATATTTTCTGGATCATGGCCGAGCAGTCTTCATAAGGGGTAGCACCTGAACTTCGAAGAAACATTCGACTTTTTGTTCTTAAACGTAATGCACTAGGTATGTATATAAGCAATTTAATATTTCTTTTATAAAATTCGCAGTAATTCAATTTTTTAATAAAATCGTCAAGACTACATGGGTTCGTTAACATGTTCGTTATGATCTCATTAAAATTGTCAAACATTTTCCATTTTCTTCAGTGACACATTGAATCTTGTACAGAGACTTATTTAGCTATTCTACTTATATAGGTGTGTATATATTTTTGTATGTATTATTTTTTAGAAATGTATTTTATTTTCTGTTAGGTATCAATGATATTTGTAATGTATTAGTCTTTTTTAATAAAGTGGGCCATTTTTTCCCGATTTACCCTACTCATAATAGCTGTAATCCTATATTTTAGATAAAGAAATTGAAATTAGTTCTATAGATATTGTTATTTAACATTAAAAGATACGGCATTATGTTTAGGAACTCAATCGCTCGGTTTAGTTTCATTTTTTCAATATTTCGTTTAGAAGATTTGTTGGATTGTGTAAGATATTACTGAAACAAAAGCTGGTAGAGATTT